TCTATTTCGACCATAACAAAAGATGTCAACTTTTACTTAAAATCCCAAATGTTACACATAATACTGAGGATAGAGTTAAATTGTTACGGCATTACCCACAATAACCTTTAATATCTCCTTCTGCTTACGTGTCCTGTTTTTTTTGTGTTCTCACATCACCGATTTGTCAGAGACTGCTCCATGTTGTGCTTTTGCACCTGCTTTCCTCGATCCTGGAATAACCTGACCACCTTTCTTCATTTACCTCACTCCTGATCTTGTTTTGCAGATTCAACCCAGATGTCATCAGTCCTGGGAAACCTGCCTTAATCTTCTGGCCTGATTTTTTTTCTGTAATGTTTTCTTTCCCAATACTCATTGCAGACCAATATATCAGCCATTATGGCATTATATTATAACTGTTCATGGTTTTTGTTTTGTACTTGGCTGGTAGTTTACTTGGTGTCTTCTTTACCATGCTGTGAGAAATTTGAGAGGAAGATGGTATATTATCAATTTTTCAATTTCCACTGCTCAGCACAGAACCTGGCACATGCAGCAGATGTTTATAAATCTTTGTTGAGTGGATGAGTGGAGAGCACAGATCCTGTGTACTGTCTGCATGGTTCACAGATGGTACAGAGACTGGCATTCAGGCTGTGTTCAGTTTACCAGAGAAGGTTGTGCTGTCTCTGGGTATTATTTGAAACTAACCAATAACTGTTGCATCAAATTGAGATTGATTGAACATTTTTGCTCTCTGAAAGATGGGTAATATAGTTTGACCGAGGTTGCAATTGTCTTGGTGAAGGCTGAGGGATTTACATCAAAACATTACAAGAAGAGTCAGAAAACATTTTGACCCTCTTCATCTGAGAAAATGTATCCTGGACATGGGGGCTAAGACTCTTTTAGAAGTAATTAATCACCAAGGGTACCTTTGCTCCCATCTCACTCATTGGGGCTGAGAAGCAGTAAATTTAGGGTTGTGTTGGAAACAATGCCCAGGATTATTCTTAAGATGAAGAATTCTACATATCTGTTTTAGGAGGCTGGGGTGATAACTGGAATAAACAGGGAATTCTATTTGGAACTGCATAGAAAATGAACTGCAAAAACTGCCAGTCTCTTTTTTGTTATTGGGTCAAAAACTTTGGTATAGTCTCTGTATTAATTAGCATACAGGGTAAATTGCTAGAAGAAAGAGACCTCAAAATATGGCCTCTCCTGTAACAGTTCAGAAATATGAGGCCAATCCTGAATGAGTATGGGCTCTGCTCCCTGAGGTCATTGATGGGCCATGGTTCCTTTTGTCGTATTGTCTTTTATTCCTTAGATCAGAAGTAGGCAAATTCTATTATACTGTAGAATCATCTGGAGGGTATGCTGGGTTCCGTTGTCAAGTTTCTGATTCATGTCTTCACTGGTCCCAAGAATCTGCATTTCTAACAACTTTTCAGGCAATGCTGATGCTGCTTGTCTTGGAACCACACTTTGGGAGCCACTTTCCTAGGGTTTGGACCTTGTCCACTTGGTCAAAGCTGGCTGGCTCGCACTGCACCCATGTTCCTACCATGGAGGAAGGGGCAAAGAAAAAGTGTAAAAAAGTAGAACACTGCTGGCAAGTCCCAGAAGTTGCTTATGCTTCATTCTCAAGATCTTTGTAACACAATTGTCTACAAGGGAGACTGGGTAACTTCTTACTGACAGATCACGTTCCCAGCTAAAACACAGACACTCTATTGCCAAGAGAAAGAAGGGGAGAAATGGTGGTGTTTGCCCAGCCCTGCCCATATATGGGCACTCATACGTCCTCCTCTGCTCTGGGATGCAGAGGCAGGGTACTCTCTGCAGGTTTGGAGCAGTTCTACCAGAACCTAAGGGTCTGGGATGTCCTCAGACCCTTGAACTTGGTGTGTATACAATGGCAGTAGTGGCCCAGAACACTGATTTTCTCTACCCCCCTCTTTTCTCCCCCTTTTCCTCTCTCTGCCTCAGACCTCCACATCAGGTGGCATATTTTCTTCACAAGCTGACACTATAGCAATTGTGTGTTCTTATCCTGCCGATAGTGGTTGGATGCTTGAGTAGGAATAAAATTCTTCCTGTCCTTTTCTTGTAGGTAGATGAACTCTTAAACCTCTTTCTTCAACTTGAAGCATGACCTTCAAAACATAGAATTGTTTTAACCTCTCGGATTGCTTAGCACAGAAAGTGCAAGAACTGCATTGTCTCTAATAAGAGGATTTCTGATGTGTAAAAAAAAGTGGTCCCTAATGTGGGTTTCACTGAACTCTGGGTAAAAGCTAATATATTTTCTTTCAATAAAATTCTCAGCCCCAGAGTTTACATTTTGTCAACAAAAAGCCAGTGAACCTGAAGGTTTTGCTATCTCTGGGTATTATTAAAACATTTCCCTCACTTTTTTTCTTGCTTGCTAAGTTTTTATGACACTGAATTCTTTTTCCATTGCAGTTTGTGTAGTATTATTCCCTTTAACAGAGGTTGTGTGAGAAGGATTAACTTAGTCTGTTTCTCTACTGCTAGCCTACATCTTTATAAGCCATAAAAGCTTAGTGTAACATCACCCCGGTTGAACTCTTTCTGTGGTGGAAAGATAATTTGAAGCCGAATAGCATTTTCCTGCAGAGGACAGTGGATGAGCTCAGCCTCTGAAGTCCCAGTGCCTGCCTTCAAATCCTGAATGTACTTGAATGTTTTATTTGAATTTAATAAGTCTTGGTTTTTACTCAGTAAAATGGGGATACAAATATTACATACCTCATAGGGTGGCTGTGTTAAAGAAAAATTATCCTAAGACTCGTTAAAATGGCAAAGAAGACTTTATTCACGACTATTGCATTAGGGGTCATGATTAGCACAATGGGGGAGAGATTGGATACAAGTCTGAATACAGCAAAGGCAGCTGGAGATTTATAGCCAAAGAGTAGCTGGAAGGGATGAATGGATAAAAGATTACTAACAGAAGACTTCAAGGGTAGGGGGATTCTTCTAAACTGGACTAACAGAATTTGTGCTGAAGGTAGGTCAAGGCCTTAGACATCGAAGGTGGGAGATGAGGAAATCGACCAGATATCAAAGGAGGAGGATTCTTGCTATACTGATGTAGTAGGATTTTTAAAAGACAGGACCAGGGCATAGTCCAGAAGAGGACTCAGAGGAACCAGACTAAAATTCATTCAAAGAGACAGTCTATTAGTGGTAAGGCTTGAATTAAATAATTCATGTACCAACATTGGGTCAGTCCCTAGCACATAGTATAAGATGATTCAATGTGAATTATTATTATTGTTATTATTAAACCTAATAATGATACTTGTCTCTGCCATTTTATTAGTATATATAAATTGGAGAATTTATTTTCCTATCAAAAATTCAGAGTGAATGCCACTCAGGTATCTTCTCGAATTTACCAGGAGAAATATTTCCTTTAAGTTTTTCGTCCACACTGGCTCCTCTGACAGGGTGGTGTGGTGGAAAGCAGGCACAATGACCACTTGGCACTTGAGAGCTATATTCAAAAACTAGGGTGTGAGCTGGGTTTTCATCTGCTGAGGGAAAAATAGCAAACCTCATGTCTTGAAACATAGTGCTAAAGTCAAACTGGACACATTGCCAATGCTGTCTCAACAGGAGGATGAAGCTGAAATGAAATAATAGCAACTGTTGTATGGGATTGAATTGGGATTAGAGCACCACTAGACTGGAGAAAGTAGAGTGGCAAATTTGGACAAATATCTAAATTTCAGAGCCTGGGATATTGTTTTAACTATTCAGATAGAGCAAATGCATTGTAGGCTAGATCTATTTAAACGACGTATAAAGGGACAATGTTGTGCAATTACTTGGGAGCTGAAAACATAAATAAACTTTGGTTCTGGGGTCTGGAACTCAAAGGACATGGTAGATTACCATTGTAAAGTTAGATTGTTTTGTTTTGCTGTTGAATTAGATAAATTCCTTACATATTTTGGATATTAGTGCTGTATAAATATATTGTTTGCAAATTTCCCTTCCATTCTATAGGTCACTTTTTCATTCTGAGTCCTTTTTCTGTACAGAAAGGGGCTTCCAAGTTTTATGAAGTCCCACTTGTTTACTTTTGTTATGTTGGTTGTGCTTTTGGTGCATATTTAATAAGTCATTGTCAAAACCAGTTTTAGGAAGTTTTTCCTGGAGTTGCCTAGGAGTTTCACAGTTTTATGTCTTACATTTGTCTTTAACCCATGTCAAGTTAAGTTTTGTGATGGTTGCAAGATAGGGGTCCAGTTACATTCTCTTGCGTGTGAGTATTCAGTTTTCCCAGCACCATTTATTGGATCCACCCTTTCCAATTGTGTTAGCTGTAGGCTTGACATATATGGCTTTTATTATGTTGAGATATGTTTCTTCTATATCTACTTTGTTGGGGCTTTTTCTTAATCCCAAAAAGATGGTAAATTTTGTCAAAAAAATTTTTGCACATCTCTTGAAAGTGATCATATGATTTTAATCTTCCATTCTGTTAATGTGATGGATCACATTTATTATTGATTTGTGTATATTGAATCATTCTTAAATACCAGGGATAAAATCTCACTTGGTCATGGTATATAATCCTTTTAATGTGCTATTGAATTTAGTTTGCTAGTATTTTGTTGAGAATATTTGCATATATATTTATCAGGGATATTGACCTACTGTTTTCTTTTCTTGTAGCATTCTTCTTGGGTTTGGTATCAATGTTATGCTGGCCTTATATAATTTTGGGAGTGTTCCCACCTCTTAAATTTACTGGAAGAGTTTAAGAAGAATTGGTGTTAATTCTTCTTTAAGTGTTGGTATAATTCACCAGTGAAATCATCTGGTCCTTAACTTCTCTTTGTGAAAATTTTTAACTTTTTATTTTTATTTATTGAATATACTTAAAATGTAACATTGTGGAAATTTAAGGTGTGCAGTGTATTGCTTACATACATTTATATATTGTAGTATGAGTGCTGCTGTAGTGATATTTACATAAAAACATGGAACACTTCATGAAATTGCATGTCATCTTTGTGCAGGGGCTTTGCTAATTTCCCCTATGTTGTTCCAATTTTAGTTTATGTGCTGCCAAAGCAGGCATGGGGAGGTTTTAAATTACTCATTCAATATCTTTACTTGTTTTGGCCTGTTTAGATTTTGTATTTCTTTGTAAATTAATCTTGGTAGGTAGTATGTTTCTAGGAATTTATCCATTTCTTCTAGGTTATCCAATTTATTGGTTTATAATTATTTGTAGTAGTCTCTTATGATTCCTAGTATTTATGTGTATTAGTTGTAATATCTCTTCTTTGATTTTCATTCTGACACATTTTATTGATTATATTATTACAATTGTCTCATATTTTCTCCCCTTTATTCCACTCTGCCTTGTATCTCTCCTCCCACTATCATTACCCTACCTTAGTTCATGTCCATGGGTCATACATATAAGTTCTTTGACTTCTCCATTTTCCGTATTATTCTTAACCTCCTCCTGTCTATTTTGTATCCACCATTTTTGCTTCTTATTTCCTGTACTTCTTACCCCATTCTGTGCCCTACCCACTGCTGATAACCCTCCACTTGGTCTCTATTTCTGTGAATCTATTCCTGTTCTAACTGTTTATTTACTTTGTTTTCATTTCTGTTTTTTTAGATTAGCTTGTTGATAGTTATGAGTTTGTTGTCATTTTACAGTTTGTATTTTTGATCTTGTTCTTAGATAAGTCCCTTTAACATTTCATATAATAAGGATTTGGTGATGATGAATTCCTTTAACTTGACTATATCTGGGAAGCACTTTATGTGTCCTTCCATTCTAAATGATAGCTTTGCTGGATAGAAATCTTGGTTGTAGGTCCTTGCCATTCAAGGACTTTGAATAGTTCTTTCCAGCCCCTTCTTGCTTGTAAGGTTTCTTTTGAGAACTCAGCTGACAGTCTTATGGGCACTTCTTTGCAGGTAACTGTCTTTTTTTCTCTTGCTGCTTTTAAGATTCTCCCCTTATCTTTAATCTTGGTTAATGTAATTATGATGTGCCTTGGTGTGTTCCTCCTTGGGTCCAACTTCTTTGGGATTATCTGAGCTTCCTGGACTTCCTAGATATCTATTTCCTTTGCCAGATTGGGGAAGTTCTTCATTATGTTTTCAAATAAGTTTTCCATTTCTTTCTCTTCCTTTTATTCTTCTGGGACCCCTATGATTCAAATGTTGGAACATTTAAAGATGTCCCAGAGGCCCCTAAGTCTCCTCATTTTTTTCAGTTCTTGTTTCTTCATTCTGTTTCAGTTGAATTTTTATTTCTTCCTTCTCATCCAAACTGTTGATTTGAGTCCTGTTTTTCTTCCCATCACCGTTGCATTTTCCTTTATTTCACTTTTTGCGGCCTTCACTTTTTCCTCTATTTTGCAACCATACTCAACCATTTCTGTGAGCCTTCCGATTACTAGTGTTTTGAACTGTGTGTCTGATAGGTTGGCCACTCTTCATTGCTTAGCTGGAATTTTCTTGGAGCTTTGATTTGTTCTTTCATTTGGACCATATTTTTTTTTGTCTCACTGCACCTGTTATGTAGTAAGGGGTGGAGCTTCAGCTATTTGCTAGATTGGGGTAACCCACTTTGCTATGTTGTCTTGCTGTGTGTGTGGGAGGGGTCTGAGAGGGAGTAATGCTGCTTGCTCAGCTCTCGGCCAGCTTTCAGTTACTTTCCTTGCTACCCACAAGCAAATTGGGCCCTTCTGGTACTGATTCCCAGGTGGGTGGTTTTGTGTACATTCTAGGACTCTGTGGGTCTCTCCAACAAACTTTCCTGTGAGGCTGAGAGTTTCTCCTGCTGTCTCAACCCTCACAGGTGTTTTCAATCAGAGGTTTTGAGGCTTTATTTCCCTGTGCTGGAACCCTGGGTTGTGTGGTCGGTCTCACTCCCCAGTTGTTGCTCCTGGTTTATTCGCATGCAAATGTAGGACCTCTGGCTTCCCCAGCCCCTGCCTTGCCTAATGTGCCAGCTGCCACCTCTCCTGCCACTCTCCTGCAGGCAGTGCCTTGCTGGGAGTCCTCTCTACCTTGGTGACCCATCTCCACCCCTCTTACCAGTGTGGATGAATGTTTCTTCTTTAACTCCTTGGTTGTTGAACTTCCATAAAGTTAGATTTTTCTGGCAGTTCTGGTTATTTTTTGTCTTTAAATTTGTTGTCCTTGTTTTGGTTGTGTGAGGAGTCACAGTTTATTTACCTATGCCTTTATCTTGGCCAGAAGTCCTGTTCTCTTTGATTTCTGATTTTATTTGGATCTTCTTTCTTTTTTCTTAGTTAATCTAGCTAAAGAGTTGTCAATATTTTATCTTTTAAGAAATGCCACTTCTTGATTTTTTTACATTTTCTTTTGTTTCTCTCACCTGTTTCATTTATTTCTGTTCTGATCCTTATTTCCTTCCTTCTGCTAATTTTGTACTTAGTTTGTTCTTTTTAGTTCTTGAGTTGTGAAATTACACTGTTTATTTGAGGTCTTTCTTTTGTATTATTATCATTGTCGATTGCTAAAATTTCCCTCTTAGAACTGGTTTGGATGCATCCTATAAGTTTTGGTAAATTGTGTGTTTCATTTCTTTTTGTTTCAAGATTGTTTTAAGTTTTATTTCTTATTTCTTGTTTGATCACTGGTTGTTCAGGAGCATGTTCTTTAAATCTGCATATTTCTGTATTTTTAAATTTTATTATTTCTAGTTACTTTTTATTGTGATCAGAAAGGGCACTTGATAAGATTTAAATCATTTTATATTTTCTAAAACTTGTTTTGTGACTTAACATATAATTTATCATACAGAATATTGCATGTGCATTTGAGAAGAATGTGTATTCTGTTGCTGTTGATTGGGATGTTTGTATATGTGTGTTAGGTCCATCTGGTATTAACTGTAGTTCAAGTCCAATTTTTCCCTATTGATTTTCTGGCTGGATAATTTATCTACAGGGATGGGGAATAGTAGTTTTACAGTAGTTTTACATGAAACACAGAATTTATTCTTGAATTGTTTATTTATTTATTTATTTACATTTTACTTATTTGTGTTATTTTCATACAAACAACTGTAAATCTATTTTTGCCCACTCGCATATTGTTGAAAGTAAGGTATTGTAGTCACTACCATTATCATATGTATTGCTATTTCTTAGATTTGTTAATATTTGTTTACTATATTTAGATGTGCAAATGTTGGATGCATGTATATTTATGATTGTTATATTCTATTGATAAATTAAACCTTATATTATTATATAATGGCTTCGTCTCTTATAATTTTGGTCTGAAAGTCCATTTTGTTTGATGTAATTATAGTAGCCTCCACTTTGTTTTGGTTACTGTTGGCATGGAATATCTTTTTCATTTTTCACTTTGAGCTTATGGCTTATGGATGTTCACCAGGCTGAGTCACTTTATTGGCACCATATAGTTGTTTTTTTCCTTTTATTCCTTTTATTCATTCAATGTGCATAGGTAATTTGTGCTTTTCAATGTGACAGTTTAATCTTTTTTACATTTAAAGTAATTTAGAAATAAATAAATAAAATGAAGTAATTATTGATGGGTAAGGACTTACTAATACTATCTTCTTGTTTTCTGGCTATTTTGTAGTTCCCATGTTCCTTTTCCCTCTCTGTCTTTGTGAGTTGATGATTTTCTGTAGTGGTATGCTTTAATTTCCTTCTCTTTATCTTTTGTGGATCTACTGTATATTTTTGTTTTGTGATTACCATGAAGCTTACATAAAACATACATACAACAATCTAGTTTAAGCTGATAACAACTTAACCCAGAGTGTATACAACTCTACCTGTTATTTCCCCATTTATGTTTTTAAGGTACTTTATTGATTATGCTATTACAGTTTCCCCAATTTCCCCCTTCTCTCCCCTCTGCCTTGCCCTCAACTTTCCAGCACCATCCCCTTAGTTCATGTCCATGGTTGTACATATAAGTTCTTTGAGTCCTCTGTTTCCTATACCATTTTTTTATCTCTCCACGTCTATTTTATGCCTACTAATTATGCTTCTTCGCTGTACCTTTTACCCTTTATACCTCCTTTCCCTCTCTCCACTGAACTCCCTCCGTGTGATGTTCATTTCTGTGGTTCTGTTCCTGTTGTAGTTGTTTGCTTAGTTTTTGTTTTCATTATTTTTCTTTTCTTTTAGATATGTTGATAGTTGTGAATTTGTTGTCATTTTACTGTTCATAGTTTTATTTTTCTTAGATAAGTCCCTTTAATGTTTCATATAATAAGGGCTTGGTGATGATAAACTCCTTGAACTTGACCTTATCAGAGAAGCACTTTATCTATCCTCCCATTTTAAATGAAAGCTTTGTTTGATAGAGTAATCTTGGATGCATGTCTTTGTCTTTCATGACTTGAAATACTTCTTTCCAGCCCCTTCTTGCCTGTAAGGTTTCTTTTGAGAACTCAGCTGATAGTTTTATGGGAACTCCTTTGTAGGTAACTGTCTCCTTATCTCTTGCTGCTTCTAGAATTCTCTCCTTCATTTTAATCTTGGGTAATGTAATTCTCATGTGCCTTGGTGTGTTTCCTTGGGTCCAAATTCTTTGGGACTCTCTGGGCTTCCTGTAATTGCTGGAAGTCTATTTTCTTTGCCAGATTGGGGAAGTTTTCCTTCATTATTAGTTCAAATAAGTTTTCAGTTTCTTGCTGTTTTCTTCTCCTTCTGGCACCTCTATGATTCAGGTATGGGAACACTTTCAGGTTGCCCAAGACATTTGTAAGACTCTATACTTTTCTTTTAAATATTTTATTTATTTATTTTGAGAGAGAGGGGAAGGGAAAGAGTGGGAGAGAAACATCAATGTGTGGTTGCCTCTCATGTGGCCCCTACTGGGGACCTGCACCCAAGGCATGTGCCCTGACTGGGAATCGAACCGCAATACTCTGGTTCGCAGGCCCACGCTCAATCCACTGAGCTATATACTAGCCAGGGCAACACTTTTCTGAATTCTTGTTTCTTCATTCTGTTCTGGTTGGATGTTTATTTTTTCTTTTGTTCTGAATCATTGCTTTGAGTCCTGGTTTCCTTCCTGTCACCATTGATTCT